TGAGCCAGTCTAAAACACACAAATCTTATTTAAATTCAATGACCCATCCAATATTATATGCATTCAGCAAGGACGCATAAAATTGATCAATAGTGACCAAAAGACATTTATAATGTACAAGTTATTTTTCAAAAAAAAAAAAAGAAAAGAAAAGAAAAAATGCTGTTTTTTAAAAGTTTATATTCATCAAAGAATCCTGAAATAAATGTATCAGTTTCCACAAAAATATTAAGCAGCACAACTGTTTTCAACATTGATAATAATAAATGTTTCCGGAGCTTTGCCATCAAAGAAATTAATTACATCTTAAAGTATATTAAAATAGAATATGGTTAAATTGTGATAATATTACTGTTTCACAGTAGTTTTGATCAAATAAATGCAACCTTGATGAGAATGAAAGGCTTCTTTTAAAAACATAAAAAACTACTTTTGAACAGCAGTGTATATTTTGCCCCCAAGCGCACAGCTGGATTTTATAAATTACCTTGTTTTCTCGTCTTCCATCCACTCTTTCTCTGCAGTAAGCTCTTGTCGCTTTACCATGAAGTTTTTCCGTGTGGTCTTGCTGCTATTCAGCTCCAATTTAACTTGCAAAGACTCAATTTTTTCAATAAAACACTATACAAAAAAAACCCAAAAAACATTTCAACAATAAAAATGAGGTAATACCAGAGGCTTTTGACTAAGATGCTTCTGCACAAAGTAGCATTCCCTAGTGAGTTCAAAGGAGATTAAGCACTGCTATTCAAATAACCATGTGTAAATGTCAAAACCTCTACAGATTGGATGTAGTGGTAGTTTCTTTATGTAAAGATGTGATGCTGAACCTGGTACTGATGATTTTTGTCAACTCTTGTCTTGCCATGACTGTGGACATGGAGGTTGTGCTCCTCCTGCTCTGCTGCATGCTGCTTCATAAGAGCCTCATACTGCTCACTCAGCTCAATACTGCAGTCTTCTAAAGCACGCTACAGAGAAAGAGAGAAAGAAAGATATACATTAGGGTCTGAAAGTCTGAGAATATTCAGAAGATTATTATTCCAGGAAATAAAGAGAACAAGAAAACAACAACAACAAAAATAAATATTTACTAACCCCACTGCACACAAATTCACATTTCCAAAAACACCTGTAACACATTTATAAACTCCAAAAACAGTTAAACAAAAAAAAAGCGCAGGGTTCCAAGGCTGATTTTTTTTTCCAAATTCAAATTTAGAAAACAAGTTTGACATTTTTGCTACAAATCTTTCAAAAGAACAATAACAAGGTTGTTCTGTCCAGCAGTACAAGGCTGAAGTCTCTCTCTCTCTCACACACACACAAATACAGGTTACACTGTCATGCAAACTCATAACAAATTTAAAGCAAAACATGTTTTGGCCAATTTATGAGCATTTCAAGGACCACTTCAAATGTCCTTACAAGCAACTGTTCATCATGTTTCACTATATTTGTGAGGATATTTTCAAACGTGTTGCTCACTAGCATAGCTTGTACACACACACACACACACACAGGTTTCCCTGTTATATGGAGACCAACTATATGATCATCACCTGTGGGGACCACCCTTTCTAAAGGTTTTAGAGATCTGAAAAAAATATGGAAAACCATTGCCTATACACGACTTCAAATGTCTGAACTGATGAGGTAATGACTTCACCATGCTAAATTGGGACTTCTAAAAAAAATTGAGTGAACATGTCTGATAGGGACCTTATTTGTATATTATTTGCATAATACACACACTTTCCCACTTGATTTGTGGGGACCTTGCAACAACATGTATATTAGTAATGACAAAGCATTTATAACAAGTAAATCAGATTGCATTTGTCCATTTGCACTTCTACAATTATGTAAAATGAAAAGATACAGTAGTAGTAGAAAACTAGTTTAAATTTTACAATTTAGCTAAGATTAGTTGGTTCCTAAGTAGTGGTTGAGATGGGATGAGTCCTGCAATTGGTGATAGTGATGCATAGATTCACTCTTGCATAGAACACCTACCCCCAGTTTCACAGACAAGGCTTAAGCCTAGTCCTAGACTAAAATGTAAATCTGAGCTGTTTCAACTGAAAGAAACTTGCACTGCCTGATCTTAAACATGTTAGTGCCTTTTTTTTTACGCACGCTCATCTGTCGCTTTAAATTCTCGAGCTCGTTACAGCAGGATTGATTCTGATTGGGTGTCACTGTTTTTATTGTTCATCAGCTGGAAAAAAATTCCTCTGAAAGGGATCCCAACGATATTGTCTCTCTGTGCCTTGATTGTTTTAGCAGTGGTGTGGACTGTGCTATTCTTTAATATTCAGAATGATTTTTAGAACTATATCTTTATCGTTATCGTCCTTGGTGTGAACAGGCCTTTACCATGATAATAAATCTACTAATAACGACTAAATAAACCTCAAGACATCAAATCATTTAATTTGCTGAATGTAACTTTTAATGAGTACAACTTTACAAACATTTACAAAGTCAAATAAACCCTGCAAATAAAGTATATTTATATTCAAATGTATAAAAAAATTACTGAGACAGAACGTAAGTGAAAAAAGGTCAAAACTGTAAAATTGTTTAACAAGGTTTGCTATTGCATTCCAGCTTGTGGCCTTCATCAGACATCTTAAATCATACAGCAATCTTTTTTAATATGGCAACACCATATTTGTCACCCATGTCCTCTGTTGGACACTCCCATTGCTTCTTTTTCAACCTGTGACAAATATCTTTGTAGGTGTCACTGGGTGTGGATGTAAATTATTGTTGAATAAATACATTTGTATTTTTAAATAATAAATAAATCATTATTATTTTTTTGTTTTGCTTCACACTCTATTTGAAATGTTATTTGCAGTATAAGTTTCTGATGAAAGCTACAAGCTAAAAAGCTTTCTGGTCTGTGAGCGTATATGCGTTCTGGGGGCGTGGCTTTGGACGGCTATCGCAGGGAGGGTGGGACGTTGGCTTTCAGTGCTATCAGGCTAAAGTTAGCATTTTCCAAGATCTCCTACTGCACCTTTAAGAACAATAATGTTTGCATTGTATGAACACATCATTGCTAAATGCATGGCTCGTTCCAAGATGGTCGGTCGCAAGACACTACAGTGACTTTATTTAAATGC